TACAGACCGCTCGACTTGACATAATGTGGGCCAAACCCTCCGTAGTTTTTTATTTAGCACCTGTTACTGGTAGGTAACTTAAGTCCGTGACACAACATTATTCTAACACTATAATTACATTGTGATTACTTAACATCCCACTATTCCTTTGTTTTAGGAAATTGAGAGACTTTTGTTTAGAAAAGTCTCCCAATTTCCTGCGATTGATATTTGACCACCGAAAAAAGAAAAACTACTTTTTTAGGTTTCTTGGTGTTAGTAATTTTATTTTAACTCGTAGTACTCTTCTTACTTAATATAAGATCATATTGTGTTACATATCTATAGAATAAATTTACTTCTAAAAGGCATATTATAAATTATTAGTATTTAAATTATTATATTTATTTTAACTAAATTAGATAACTAAATATAAGTCTGTATGAATATAAAATGTCACATAACTACTATATATGACAGCTATAGACATGCACACAAGGAGATAAATAAATATTAATAGTACCTACCAATTCTGAATGTATTTTTTTTAAATCAATCCTACCAACAATCATCATGAACAATGGTTGTTTACCGCTAACTAGAACCGTGTTTCTGCTGAACTCCATTTCCCTTAAAATGTCCTGAAACTGTACATCTCAATAGAAGTTCTGGAATTCCAAATCTTACTACAAGGCCAGTGTTCCGCCGGGGATTATATGGACAGATTTATAGACCGTAAATTCTGACTGGCAAATGATTTTTTTGAAAAGCTGATTCAACGAAGATAAAATTTCTTTCAGTAGTTCTTATAATGGTGTTTGTTTTGTAGTAATGGATTAGAAGTTGAAAGTGGTTACAATTTTTCCAAATCGATAATAAATTGAGCATTGAAAATGTCTATTCATTATATTAGAATTGAATTACATTTTGATGAGTTTCCATCAAAATGCAATTTAGTAGTTCGACAGCTTTTTCTAAATATATATAGGTATATTTGGTTTGCCGTTAAAAAGTTGTTTCATTTATGGATAGTGCGCGTGAAAATATAAGAATTCAATATTATATATCAGCTATACGATAACAAACATTTTACCTTTGATTTATACATGTAGAAATAGCACGTAACATTTTGACTTCTACGTTTTATCATAAATTATTCACAAAAAATGGAAAGAAAATGATGTTAGTACTACAAGTAGCACGTAGCAATCGTAGCTCGTAGCAGTTTTTAGTTGAGCGCAGTCAAAACGATAAGCTGAATAACTATGAGAATTGAGCAACAATATTGTATTAGTTTAACTGTTTCAAATTAACTTTTTATGAGAAAAATCAATTTTTTTTTTATCCGAGATGGGCTCACTCTTGACCTATGGCGTAATAATATTAAGCGTAAGGCCTTAGATGGGACGAGTTTGCCCAGAAAATGCCTATTCACTCGAGCTTTAAATATACCGGAAAAACAGAGGCAGGTAGGCCATTCCACTCCTTGGCTGTGCGCACAATAAATGATGATCCAAAGCCCTTTGGTCGGATACGTGGAATGTGAACCAGGTAGGCGAGATAATTTGCTGTACGCCTGGATTCCCGGTGGTAAAAAGGTGCTGGCGGAATGAGCCGATGCAGCTCGGAAGCACACTCTCCGAAGTACAATCTGTAGAATACCGACAGTGAAGCAACTTTTCGGATGAGACAGACTGTGGAGCTAGGAGTTATCGAGATCACAATCCCCCACAAGTTTTCTGACTCTACGGTCCACCAAATCGAGCGCGGCAAGCTGGTATTTTGCTGAGCCATCCCAAAGGTGTGAGCAATATTCCATACACGGACGAATTTTTATGAGACAACTACACCTAGTCATCTTTTTATGAAATTTTTTCGTGAAATCAAAGTAGTATTAGAGAGAATATATCGAATCTTCTGAGCACAGACTGAGCTGTCACAATTCTGCTTACATTACATATATGATTGCATTTTGATAACACTTTGATCTTCAGCTGCGAGACCATAACATTGATAACCTGTACCAAATCTCGGCTAGGAAGTGACTCGTGTGTCTATGCATTAGAATTATTGGAAAATTGATTATTGACGAGAAAATTAATTTGTGTCTATGAATTAATATAATAACACTCAATTGACAAACGTTCATTAAGGGTTAATGACGACTTTAAGCTTAATGAATGTTATTTTGATAATATGTATCTGTAATGTCACTTTATAGTAATAACTATTTTAATGAGCGTTTGTACAACTGGGTGTTAGAAAAATCCATGCGGGAATTAATTGAATGCTAAGTTAGTTTTTTTTATAAGCCCAGTTCACTAAATAATAAAAATGACGCAATTCAAGAAAAATGTTCTCGTGTATTATGCTAGCGAACAGTATCGACCGGACTGTCGGGTGTCCAACGCGTCGCCTGTCCGGGTGTCGGCATCCGCACCGGATTATTACCGGCTCACTTGCTGAAGCTGTACGAAGTAAATGAAATATTTTAGTATAAGCTTTCCCCCCGTAGCTTAGAATCGTTTTATGATTATAATTTGCAATGGAAACTATCCTGTTCTTGCCCAAGCTCTCTATTTGTGCACTAAACTTAAGCAGTTTAGAGATACACAGATAAAGTTCGCATTTATATTAGTTTAGATTATTGAGTAGCATTATAAGAGCCCGTTAGCGCACAAGTTAGCGGGTTTGGTCTACGACTCGGAAGCATCATTATCATCAGCCCTGTTACGTTCCCACTACAGAGGCTCAGGTCTTTCTTATGGATGGTTAAGGAGGATGGACGGGAGGAATATGGATTGGAAGATATTAACTACTCCAAATGCAGCCGGAACCAAACGGCTTGACGCGCCTTCGGAAGCACGGATTTTTTTGCTCACCCATCTCGTGACTGAACCTTATAAAAGTGGCTTATCAACAACGTTCGCGGATCGCGGCGCATATTCATTATGCCACCGAGCTACTCACGCCATCGATGCTACGTGCTTAATTTATTTATTATAACAAAAGTGTTATGTATTTTTAGTAATCCATAACCACGCTTGTTTTTATTCTTTTTAATATACAGAAAAAATATATGAATCTTAACCATTGACTACAAAATTATTCACAACCTCGTATAAAAAAATTTGAAAGTAACATAATACCTCCTTACGGGAAATTTGGAAAAATCCTTATGTACACGTAGAAATTCTTTAACGGGTCGTTTAGCCACTCTGGCTCTTATTGTATTAACTTGAGTATTCCGTTCCCGTAGGAAGCCACGTCATGTGGAACCTCTCCACTATTCGGTATACATTCCAATCAAGCGAATGACCGGATAACTTGGAAAGTCACGAATAAAGTGTTATTAGCTTTAGTTGGAACGCAGATATGGCTGATTTGAGGATAATGCCTTTTCGTATACTTAGTTTATTAGGTTGAATATTAATCGTTTTGTGTTGTTTCAATTATTAGGTTTGGGAAAAAGTCTTTTCGCATATAGTATGCATATACTTTTAATAGAATATTTCTGGCTATACCATTCTGCCAAGTTTTGGTATCATTAAAAAATATAAATTTTAAAGAAAATAATTCTTTAAAAAATATATTTTCCGAATTCAAATTAGGAATATGTGTGATTTTCATTTGTTTTTCTTACTGTCAAAATGAGTGAATCTAATAAAGAAATTCGTTAAATTTTAAAATTTCACAATAAAGGTAGAAATGTGACGCAAGCTACGAAAAAAAATTGTAACGTTTAGGACCTAGTGCAGTTTCTGTGAGAGTGGCACAAACTTGGGTTAAGCGTTTTCAGTTCGGAAATTTTGATGTCAAAAATGGACGTCGCTTCAGTCTCCCTGTAAGGGATAAAATGTAAGGTATTTTTTGAAAAAGTGGAGTAAGATCAGCATATCAGTAGTTACGACGTAGCTAAAGAACTGGGGATTGAGCACAAAACAGTTTTGGTGCATTTGAAAAAAGTTGGGTACTCAAAAAAGTTGGATATTTAGGTACCTCACGAGCTCACTGCAAGAAACCTAATGAAGCTCATACTCATTTGTTATTCTTTATTATAACGTAATAAAACCGAACCATTTTTAACGTGCTAAAAAGGTTGTGGTCAAAGGGCGGCCAGGCTTCACAAACTGTGACGAAACCCGGGTTAATTTCCAAACAAGGTAATGCTGTGTGTATGGTGAGATTAGGAGGGCATTTATTATGAGCTGTTACCGCCAGGCATGACCATCGATTCTGAACTCTACTGCGAACAACTGAAGAGATGCAAGCAAGAAGTTGAGAGAAAGCGGTCAGAATTTATCAATAGAAGTGGTGTGGTTTTTCATCATGATAACGCTAGACCTCACACATTTTTTGCCACCCAGCAAAAAATAAGAGAGTTTGGCTGGGAGGTATATTAATGCGGATTTGTGGTGCTCAATCACAGTTGAGTAATGGATGTAAAAAATAATCCCACGTGATTGTCCTAAGTCACTAACTAATTTGGCCACCCATTCGATTACCGGCCTTTGCGATCGTCGCTTAATCTTGGCAATCACAGATCAAACGCCCTTACCACTAACATTATAATTCTAATGATCAGTTTGTCCTATTGATTATCACGTGGGTATATATTTATGATTACGTGGTTGTCTCCAAGTTAATGAGGTTCCTATGGGTACATATTATTGTATACTAATTTTGCACGTTTCTATAACTATGGTAATTTGGATGGTAACATCTTTGACTTTAATTGGACAAGAAACCTGTTATTTAACAATAACTAACTCTTTATTAGATTCTTACACGTAATTAAAAATCGAGCAAAGCATTTATGTAACAATATTTCACAACACATTTATCTGATTTCGTTCATCTAAAAAGTTAATTCATTCCTTGTAAATTGCGACCATTCAAATAGGTGACTTAAACATATATTTTTTTTAAATATACAATTACATTTTATATATCTTGTTTAAAAATTGTTTTATACTTAATTTTATCTACTCACAGCTTTTTATAACCAATTCATAACAACGTCGTGAACTTCGTCGTGCTCCATCCTAATCTATAGCATTAAGAATATATCAGTTAGACAAAGATAAACGATGATATAATCTATTATATATAAAATGACGATTTTCATAGACATAGATTAATAATAATATTATAAATCCATGGTTCGTAAATTACTCTTTCAGAAGCGCACACAAATACGTAGTACATAATGCTAAATACACTATTACGGCCCTCTAAAACCATTAAACTAAGTTAAACCTTGTTATTACATATTTTAGGGTACATTTTAAAGCGTCCAGTCAGGCCAGGCTGGTATTTAAAATAACACAGGTCATGTTATTAGGATCGGGTTTGTAAAACAAGTCATTAGTTTACCACAAAAGGTTAACGAGATTGTAACAAGATGTAATTAGTATATTATTCTATTCGCTTATTGAAAAGATCGTTGATGAATAGGACTTACACTGAACTTTCAGTTTTTTCTTGAAGTTTTCAGTATAACATCGTGAAAGTGATATAAAAGTATGGAGAATAAATAGTATAAACAGTATTTTTTGTATTACTAAACGGTTGGTACAATTCGGGACAACTCGTGTGTGATCGGTAGTGCTCGGCCGGGTCACAGGGACGGCATTGATTGGTGCAGTGAAGGTGTAAGATGGAAGATAATGCTGTCCGGTTTTGTGAATACAGGTAAGTTCAAAATTATTCAGTGAAAAAATTATACAACATTTTATGTGTTACATGGAAAAACTCTTTATTGCACTGTGTATTTAAACTTATTTAAATATGATTTTCTTTATTTTAAATACTCTTTTTATATGCAGTTTAAAAATATTTTTGATGGTTATTCTTGAATGAATTGATACTACTTGATTTAGTATTTGATTATTATCATAAACTTGATTACAAATCAAAATCATTAATTCAGTCTAGGCTGTTACAAGCACTTGTAAAAGTCTAGAGCTACGCCATCGGTTTGTAAATCTACGGCGGGAGACCTTGTACCGAGAAGAACCGGCAAGAAACTCGGCAAGGACTGCTTTTTTCTCCCCGTTTTATTTCATACAGAGCGTCAAGATTGATAAATATCTTCATTAAAATATGAAGTCACTTTTCATTACAATATTAGAAAATATAAAAAGTAAAAGAGTATTTTCGTCAATCGAATCACATGTCTAGTCATCAAGCTCACCGATAAATAATTTAATAGACATAAAATAAGCCATATTTAACACCAAGCAATTTTGTCATTTAAATATTCATTAACAGTATATTCTTAATATGGGTCTTCAATTTAGGCACTGGTAAATTTAAAATTTCCATAGGAATTTTGTTATAGTAGTATACCTTGACCCATAAATGTAGATAGAACCTTCTTTAGCCTGTATGACGGCAAAACAAGTTTATCTTTGTTTCTAGTATTAAAATTGTGTACATGAGTATGTTTAATGTGATTGTTAATATTGTTTCTAACATAAAGTATACAATTGTATATCAATTCTTTTGAATTTATCTCTTAGTGACGTTCTTGAACCTAATTGATAAATAGCCTTTACTGCTCTTTTTTGTAAAGTAAAAACCGACTCTATATCTGCAGCCATACCCCATAGCAGAATACCATTGACATAACGCTATGGAAATAACTAAAGTATATTGTCCTGGCAGTATCTACGTAGATTAATAATGACGAATTCATCTATCATATCGTAATACTGCATTAAATAAATAAATTCTTATATTGAAATAAAATATAGGAACAGATTTAATAATTAAACATTTACATAAAATGTAAGTTGGAGGTTGGTAGGTGAATATACGAATACTTTGACGTCATGCTACGTATATCAAAACCTTGAACTAATTCCAAGTTAAATGGCTCAATATTTCACGAAAGCCTAGAATATTGTATATATAATGTTCTTCTATAAGCTTGTTTCAGTAGATACACATATTATCTCCGATTAATGGAATTATAAAACGCTACGATAATTTGGTCAAAGAGTATGAAAAAAGCTACTGAATTTAGGATCTAAGGAAAAATCAATATTTTTTTATTTCATTTGAGGTAAGCCTTTGCCGTTCTGCCAAGACATCGGTAATTTTTCTTGGAGTTTAAGAATCAATGGAAAATGTCAGAAAACATAGTCTAAAGAGGTGACTGAAGTCAAGATTATCTTTATTCAAATAAAAAAAAAACAAAACAGTCGTGACCAAAGGCAAAATTCTTTATTAAATCTTTATTAAAATAAATATATTAAATCTACTGTCTCGCACACAATTTACGAAACACTTATCCTGTTTTCTCCCGATTCACTTTATTTTTGACAATTGAATGACACTTCGTGAGACAATAAGGGCGCTTGTGCACTACACTGAATTTTCAGGTCCGGCGGTCCGATTTTTCCGGTCCGGAATGACATAAAAACCCGGATGAGTAGCTTGTGCACTTGTCGGTTTTTTTCCACATCGAGGCGGCGCAGTTCAGGGCAGCTCTCTTTGAAGCTACACGTCACTTACGCTAGGTACGATGAGATTTTTGGAACATTGGCTTGCTTTATTACTCTACGTGCGAAGACGTAAAAGACCGAAAAAAATATTGGATTCATCGCCTTATAAGTGAAAAGTACCTAAATAATGACCTGACAGGGTTATTTATTGTGTGTACATAAACCATAATAAAATGAGGCAGGACGAAAGCATATTTGTGTATTTCGAATAAAATTATTGATAATGTTCTCGTACGTGATGTTTAAATTTATAATTACAACTTCAAACGATTACATACATAGACCAATCGTTGATGCCGTTTCGTAAACAAAGCAAAAGTTCATTTAACATATAAAAGAACTAGTGGACGCCCGCGACTTCGTCCGCGTGGAAGTCGGTATCCCGTGGGAGTGAGAAGTTTTCCCAGTAAAAAGTACCCTATGTGTTATTCTGATGTATAACCTATATTGCTGTAAAGTTTTATCCAAATCCGTCCAGTAGTTTTTTCGTGAAAGAGTAACAAACATCCATACATCCATACTTACAAACTTTCGCCTTTATAATATTAATTTCGCCTTTATAATATTAATAGGATTAATATGTTAAATGAACTTTACGGTGACATTTAAATAGACCATCCTATTTTAAGTAAGTTTTAAATGTCATGATTTAACTATACTCATTGTAAGATCTAATGGATTATATATACACTCACTAGCTTTTATTTTATACGCGTGGTATAATTTCTTTGAGTACAATACTTTTTCTTTTAGAATACTTCTGATAACACATATTTATTTATACTTATCAATTGTCTAAACCTATTTTTCGTGATAAAGGTAGCCTATGTCCTTTCTTAAGGTTAAGTCTATTTCGATATTAATTTAAAATTAAGTTGTTATAAAACCTTTACTGTGTACCTATGTGGTCTATAAATATATTTTCTTTCTTTCTTTCATTAATATGGGTTCATTTGTTTAAGCGTCTAAGCGTAACAACACTTATTTATCTTACTTTTAATACGATTCTAGAATCGTTACTTTTAATACGTACGAAGTTATCGATACTAGAACCATACGATGATGATAATTATAAGAACTATAACAAGTTTGCCATAGCATATCAGTGATATTTACCAACTATATTACATCATTTTCCCAAGCCTACTCGCAGGCTCAGGAATTTTACGGATCGCGGACACAGCAGTGCACAAGTGTAAACACGTTTTTCATTGCCACCATCACGGACCTGAAAAAACCGGCCCGGAATAGAAAAAAGAAAAAAAAACCGGACCGTAAAATTCCTGACAGTGCACAGGCTAGCATTACCTACATATGGCCTGACATATCGGACAGGAAAAAATCGGACCATCTGACCTGAAAATCCAGTGTATCCTAACACCATTATTGCGAACTAATAAACACCAACAATTAACAACAAACCTACTGAAATACTTCCAAATACTTCCTCAGTCCCGTCGCCATCTCTTCGTTCCAAGATACCACGAAGATAAAAACATTATTGTTGTGTAAAGGAATTGATGTTCATAATGCCTTTCAAATGAATATATTCAGGCGACTGCCTATTACACCCGCATAAAGAAACATGATACAAATTGTTGTGAAGAGCAAACAACAAATGGGTCTGTTCTCAGTATTTGCATCATGATATATTTATATATTGCGTTATATTGCATAATATATATAAACGCAATAAACAATATAACAGTTAATTATTAAATTGTCTATGGTCAGGTTTCTGACAGATTTTTTATAAAAGACCGTATATAAACAAATAATTTTTTGTATACTTATTAGATAAAATGTAGGTACTGTACCGAAAAATGGCGCAACTGCCAATTTGACCGATATTAACAAGACTGCAGTTAAATTACTGGCAAAAGCTATTTCTAAAAATTCAAATGATTTTTATGTAATATAATGTAAATTAAAACGTCATTGGTTGTAAGACCATCACGCGTTGTAAACTATTTTCGCTCAATGAACGGTTTCGACGTAACATAAATATCAATTTAATTTCACATTTCTTATGTCCCTTTTCACTAAACTTAGGAGTCACTCAAGTCTGTCGCCTAAATATTTAGGAATCGCCTAAGGTATAAATGCATTCCACCATTGACTAGGAACCATCTAATTAAATTAAGCTAAGTCTAAAATTATGATATTCGTTACCTTGCGTTAGGCGTATGCTTATCAAGGGATAAAACGTCATAAATATGTCAAGGAATAAAATAAAAAAATATTTATTTGGAATTAAACTAATCTGCTTAGACGATTCGTAATATTAGGCGTTTCCTAGTTAAGCTTCGCCTTGTTCTAGGTTAGTGAAAATTGGTGTTAGTTACTTACATTCTTAGTTTTGAGATAGTTTATATGTGTATGTGTAACGTTTGTGAGAAGTACTAGAAACAAAACTATAATAACTAACAAGAAACGTGTTTTTCCACATTAAATCAATTTTATTCAAATAGGTATTTTCCTTTAAAGCTCTTGAGTTTGCCCTCGTCGTAGAAAGCTTACGTCTACGGAACAAAGTGTGTTTGAAATTGTATATTTTACTTCCGAGGATTATCCTACGCATACATCAGTGTCATATTTTGAATGTCAGTGCCGCGGGTATTTTGCCGACCCGGGGCAGACAGCCGCCTAGCTAACATTGATAAATTAAAAGAGGAAAGCTAATAAAACTTGTTGTTTTTTTAGTAAAAATTCAGTGGTGTGTTTATGTCAGCTGAGAATATAATTTTTAGGTTTTTATTACCATTGGACAAAGAAATTACTAAGAATAGCATATAATGAAATTAATACATGCCGTTCTTCGCAACTTGAATTCTTTGGTCTATCTTTATATATTTATATCTAAAATATTAGTCCATATAGAAAGATCTGTAAGGCTACTAACTAAATATTAAAAAAGAACATCAGAACAACTCTAATCTTCATAAAGATAAAGATAAATATAGTTTATTTTCATGAAACATGGATTACACTTATGTAGAGATCACTTATATACAGTATCAGTCCTGTAAAATTTCTACCAATTTATGGTGTGCAAAAATAACAGTTTATTTAATTAAATAAATATAATTCATGTCAAAATTAAACCTCAAGTACTTAAAATTCATAATCAATATTCAATAAAATCAATTAGATGTTAGTATAGATATATTATAATTAAAAATA